GGTGCTGAGCCTGAGCGTGCTCCACCTGGAGGAGCCCTCTCCTCCCAGCAGCTGTAGGAGAGGTACCTCGAGTACTGCCGCCTCCGGAGAGGTGCTTCTGGAGCTCGTCCCGGTACTTCCCCTCCTACCCAGGAGCTCCCCCCCATTCAGGTGATCCGCGAGTGGTACACGCGGCGCTGCAGTCTTCGTAGTGGTGCTCCTGGTGCTGCGGACCCGAGCGGTGGTGCTGTTGCTGGTGCTGAGGACCCGGACGCTGGAGCTGCTGCTGGTGCTGAGGACCCGGGGGCTGGAGCTACTGCTGGTGCTGAGGACCCGGGCGTTGGAGCTGCTGCTGGTGCTGAGGACCCGACCGGTGGCGCTGCTGCTGGTGCTGAGGACCTGACCAGTGGCCCTGCTGCTGGTGCTGAGGACCCGGGCGTTGGAGCTGCTGCTGGTGCTGAGGACCCGACCGGTGGCGCTGCTGCTGGTGCTGAGGACTCGGGCGTTGGAGCTCCTACTGGTGCTGAGGACCCGAGCGTTGGAGCTGCTGCTGGTGCTGAGGACTCGGGCGTTGGGGCTGCCACTGGTGTCCCTGCTGCTTCTGGAGACGCTGCGCGGCCGCGACCGTACTTCGTACCGCTCCTTCAGCAGGTTCTTGGTCAGGCTCCTCCTCCTAGTCCTCCTCCGTCAGTCGAGTGTCCTCTGCCTGTCCAGCCGCAGTCACAGTTACCGCCTGCCTCGCCTCTCCCTGCTCCCTCCCCTTACGCTGGTCCCACAGGAGGTCTTACAGAGCGTCGTGAGCCTGAGTCTCGTCCTGCGTCGCCTGTTCGTACTGCTCGCACTGGTCGTCGTGTCCCACGTGAGCGTCCTCCTCCTGTCCCTGGCACTCACTACATGACTCTGCGTCCCTCCACTGCTCCGCAGCGTGTCCCGCTGCCGTCTCCTCCTGCGTCCTCTCTTCCTACTCTTCCTGACCCGGAGTCTGACTCCCGTCGTGCTGCCAGTCCCACTGTTACGCGTCTCCTCGCTACAGTTGTCACTGACCCGACCTTTGAGTCCTCTGCTGCGTCTGCTCTGGTTGCTGAGTTGGTTGACTTTGCTGCTCGCTGTCGCCTAGACTACGCTGCCAGCCTTGTCGCTAGGTCTGAGTCTGCGTCTGCCTGTCCTCCGTCCGTCGGGGGTGAGTGTGCCCTCGGCACGGACGTCCTTGAGGACAGACAGGAGGAGTTCCACTGCCTTGCTGCTGCTTTGCCCCGTCTCGTGTCCTTGCTAGTTGCCCCTGAGGGAGACCCGGATGCACCAGACATCCCGACCCCACGCTCTTACGCTGAGGCGATGGCGGGTCCCTACTCCTCTCAGTGGCAGACAGCCATGGACGCAGAGATGGCCTCCTAGAAGTCCACAGGCACCTACGTAGACGAGGTTCCCCCTCCTGGGGCGAACATCGTCAGTGGCATGTGGATTTTCAGGGTGAAGCGGCCTCCGGGTTCTCCACCTGTCTTCAAGGCGCGCTACGTGGCTCGAGGCTTCAGTCAGCGAGAGGGAGTAGACTTCTTTCAGACCTTCTCCCCCACCCCGAAGATGACTACTCTTCGGGTGCTGCTGCACATAGCCGCTCACCGCGACTACGAGCTTCACTCTCTTGACTTCAGCACTGCTTTCTTGCAGGGCAGCCTGCACGAGGAGATCTGGCTGCGCCGCCCCCCTGGCTTCACTGGGTCAGTTCCTCCTGGCACCCAGTGGAGGCTTCAGCGGCCGGTCTACGGTCTCCGCCAGGCGCCACGTGAGTGGCACGACACACTGAGGACGACACTTGCGGCTCTTGGGTTCGCTCCCTCTACTGCTGACCCGTCGCTGTTTCTACGCACCGACACCTCGCTGCCGCCGTTCTACATCCTCGTGTACGTCGACGACTTGGTCTTTGCCACTGCTGACACTGCGGCACTCGCTCACGTGAAGTCGGAGCTGCAGAGGAGACACACGTGCACAGACCTGGGTGAGCTGACGAGCTATCTTGGCTTGCGGATCACCCGGGACAGAGCACGGCGCACCATCACCCTGACTCAGTCACACATGGTGCAGCAGGTTCTCCAGCGCTTCCGCTTCACGTACTCCTCGCCTCAGTCCACTCCTCTGCCTACCGGTCACTCGCTCTCAGCTCTGCCTTCGGATGAGTCCGTAGAGCCGAGTGGCCCGTATCCAGAGCTTGTGGGCTGCCTCATGTACCTGATGACCTGCACTCGACCTGACCTTGCATACCCTCTTAGCATCCTTGCACGCTATGTCGCTCCTGGCCGTCACCGGAAGGAGCACATGGATGCTGCTAAGAGGGTGTTGCGCTACTTGTGCAGTACGTCGGGCATGGGGCTTGTGCTTGGAGGGCGAGACCGGGTTGTTCTCACAGGGCACTCAGACGCTTCTTGGGCAGACGACCAGGCTACTCAGCGGTCGTCCCAGGGTTACACCTTCAGCCTTGGCTCTGGCTCAGTTTCTTGGCGTTCTACTCGCTCTTCTTCTGTTCTCAGCTCCAGTTGTGAGGCTGAGATCTACGCCACAGCCATGGCTGCTCAGGAGCTACGCTGGCTGACCTACCTGCTGACCGACCTCGGAGAGCGGCCTCGTTCTCCTCCAGTGCTGTACGTCGACAACAAGGCTGCCATTGCCTTGTGTGAGGAGCACAGACTGGAGCACAGAACGAAGCACATCGCTCTGCGGTACTTCCTTGCTCGAGAGCTGCAGCAGCGTGGTCAGCTTTGTCTGCGTTACGTGGCCACGGAGGCCAACACTGCTGATGTGTTCACCAAGGCGCTTCAGCCTTGTGACCATCAGCGCTTTTGCACGCTGCTAGGCCTTGTACCTACTGGGCCTCACTTGCTTACCTCTTGACCTTGCTTGTACTGTGATCACTATATATATATGCCTACTTGTTTACTTTTGCTAGGTTGTGATCACTGTATCTCTTGCTTTGTTATAAACCTGCATGTGAACTGGTCTTGTGACCGCTTGCTTGTGCTCGGAATTTGTGTGGAATCCTTGAGATCCACCCTGAGCTTGCTTTGCTTTGCTTTGACTGGTCTTGTGACCCTGTGGTTGTCTCCCACTGCGCCTATGGGGGTGTGTCAAACATTGCATGTTTATATTATGTAGGCTGTAGTGGGTTACACCTTAGGGGGTACTCAAAGTTAGGGTTTCCTACTTGTACCAAACTCTGTGCTAGTTCATCCCATTCCTGCTCAGTTATTTCTGACAACCCCTTGTTCTCCCCCACTTTGCCTATGGGGGTGTGTCAAACTATATGTACTGCATATTGTCTAGGCTGTAGTGGGGTAGCCCACATGGGGTACAACCCAATTAGGGTTTACTACTTGTACTCCTGCATCCTGTTAGTTCATTCATTCCTGCTGCTAGATTCTAACATAATGCCCAATTATGTGGATTTACGACTAAATAATATCAGCATGTATTATGTGGTTACTTATGTTGAAAACATGTGTTTTACTAACTCTGCTTTTATGGGAAACGTTCGTTTCGTTTTTCGCTTTCGTCTCGTTTTCTGGAGCTGACGCAAACTACACATGAAGTGTACAGTCGTGCATCAGCTGAGTCAGCTGAATTCACGTGCTCACACATGTGAAACCACCCCGATAACCCAACCCAGCCAAGAACAAGAAACTAGTTCTTTCCACTCACGCTAGTCCATCACGCTAGTACCATCACGCTAGTACCTCATGCTACTGCTAGTACCTCGCGGATTACCCCGTACTACCTCACGCTAATACCACACGCTAGTACGAACGTCAGCTCCTTATTCTGTGACAAGCGCCCGTGACCATGAAACCGCTCGTGGAAAACGCCCCTGACAAGCGTCCGTGACAAACGACATGTTTCGTGAGTACAAAGTGATAGGCGCGTTAAGTGTTAGGTGGTCATCGTCAACCCTTGGCGCCTTAGACGCAGGCGCCTTGGCGCCGTATTGCTGGAGCCTTGGCGCCTTCAACGCTGGCGCCTTGGCGCCTTAAACGCAGGCGCCTTGGCGCCTTAAACGCAGGCGCCTTGGCGCCTTAAACGCTGGCGCCCTTGCGCCATGAGCGCTGGCGCCTTAAACGCAGGCGCCTTGGCGCCTAATTGCTGGAGCCTTGGCGCCTTCAACGCTGGCGCCTTGGCGCCTTAAACGCTGGCGCCTTGGCGCCTTAAACGCTGGCGCCTTGGCGCCTTAAACGCAGGCGCCTTGGCGCCTTAAACGCAGGCGCCTTGGCGCCTTAAACGCAGGCGCCTTGGCGCCTTAAACGCAGGCGCCTTGGCGCCTTAAACGCAGGCGCCTTGGCGCCTTAAACGCAGGCGCCTTGGCGCCTTAAACGCAGGCGCCTTGGCGCCTTAAACGCAGGCGCCTTGGCGCCTTAAACGCTGGCGCCTTGGCGCCTCAAACGCAGGCGCCTTGGCGCCTCAAACGCAGGCGCCTTGGCGCCTCAAACGCAGGCGCCTTGGCGCCTCAAACGCAGGCGCCTTGGCGCCTCAAACGCAGGCGCCTTGGCGCCTCAAACGCAGGCGCCTTGGCGCCTCAAACGCAGGCGCCTTGGCGCCTCAAACGCAGGCGCCTTGGCGCCTCAAACGCAGGCGCCTTGGCGCCTCAAACGCAGGCGCCTTGGCGCCTCAAACGCAGGCGCCTTGGCGCCTCAAACGCAGGCGCCTTGGCGCCTCAAACGCAGGCGCCTTGGCGCCTCAAACGCAGGCGCCTTGGCGCCTTAAACGCTGGCGCCCTTGCGCCATGAGCGCTGCAGGCGCCTTGGCGCCTTAAACGCAGGCGCCTTGACGCCTTGATCGTTGGCGCCTTAACGCGCTTGCGCCTTGTAGCCCGCTGGCAGCTTGTGTGCCGCTGCTGCCTTGTTGCGGCAACGCGCTGGCAAATTATTGTGCACGCTCAAGTGTTGCTGCAGTGAGCTCAGGCCTTGCTGCAGCGAGCTCACGCCTTGCTGCAGTGAGCTCACGTCCTGCTGCCGTGTGCTCATGCCTTGCTACGGCAGCCCGCTTTCTCTTCTCAGCCTGCCGGTGCCTTGCTGCAACTCTCTGCCGCCTTGTAGCGTGGCGATGCCCAGCTCGTTGCTCGCTGGAGCCTCGTTGTGCACCAGCGTGGTGTGCGTGACCTCAGGGGATCTATGTTTCAAACCACGCTTGTGAGTCGTCAAACCCGGTTTTTTTCGTTGCAAGACTTGCCTTTCATTTCTGTTTTGTATCAATGTTCATCAGTACTTTCATTTTGTACTTATTAGATTTCAACACACACGTGCTTATTAAGTTCCGTTTCACAATCTAGTATGTGCTCGTCATTGAATACTTCACTGCGTTCTCCGACGACAATTCATTCTTACTTAACATTTTTGTTTTGCAAGGTGTACAAGACGCATTGTGTGGAGCAAGGAGGGGAACGCAAGAGAGAAGACAATGTGGAAAAGGGTGGGAGGAGATTTTGATGGTACAGGGAGAGGAGGGAAGGCGGAAAGAGGGAGGAAGGGGGGTCAAGCTAGCAGTGATCGATACATAATAATATGATTGCAACTCTTCGTTATGCTTGTCTGCTCTCAATCCTAATTGTGTATGCATGTATGTGCGGGTGTGTTTGTGCGGGTCGGTTTGTGCGGGTCAGTTTGTGCGGGTGTGTTCATGTCAATTGGTTGTTTCACGGGGGGTTGTTGTGCTGATATGCACCGTGTTTGTGATTTAAGGTTGTCATCGTCGTTGGGGCAGCGTGTTTTCGCTGTTTCAACGACCCCATCAATCTCAGTTGCAGCATTGGTGTATATTGAGCACCCACTTCGATTCGTTCACAATCGTTACGCGATGTTGCACCCTTTTACGAGCGTTTGCATTTGTGTTTGTGGGATGTGTGCTTCAAAGTGTGGTGTTACTTTGTGCCATGTATGTAATTAGAGGTTGTTAATCGTCTTTGGGGCAGCGTGTTTTCGCTGTTTCAACGACCCCATCAACCTCTATTGCTATATGGTGCATCTTAACATTCATTTTGAAGCAACCACTCCACTTGTTCATCTGTAAAACTGCATTCGTGCATGTTGATACCAGAATATTATGTTTGACCGTACCATCCGCCGTATTTATCGACGATGCTGGGACGGTCGAGCAAGTTCATGGTTTCAACATGATTCGTACGGTATTTGGTTTCACATATGGGAATCTCATTTGAGAGTGCTTTTATTCACTATTTGAAGCATCCGTTTGAACCCAATTTCAAAGATTCAAAAGCGTGCTCCAAAAAGTGTGTAAAATTTCACTGTTCAAATGATGTCCCCAAAATGTCAAACCAAATATAAAGGGTTGCTACGCAACCCAAAAAGGTGGAGGGCGGCGCGAGGCTAGTCCACAGGATTGAGCGAAAGTTGAAAATCGTCGCGTTGCTTGATTATTTCTTTGACTATGCACTTCCCCAAACGTCAGAATCAGTTCACATTCGCAATCCAGATTCCGGCACCACAGTCACTCACTGCACGGGTAACAGCCGACACCCTGTGAGTTGCATTGCGGCGTCACCGTCATACCACCGCCGTTTCGAGCCGCACCATGGTGCTTGTTTTTGTTATCGCCTGCCGTCCGCGACACATACGGCCCCCTTTGCAAACAGACTCGCTGATCGCGGGTCGCGATTACCCTCGATTACAGGGCTTGAAGCGGAAACCCTACTACAGGAGAAACGAAAAAGGGCTTTCCTAGCTTCTAGTAACAGCTTGTCTCAGCTGACAGTCACTGGGGGAGTCCCACTGGAAAGTGATGACTTCTGACAGTGTCGCGGGCTATTAGTTGTAACTAACAGCAGCCGACGGGATAACAGCTGACGAAATGAAGCCGCAATCTACGCCGCCGCCTCTTGCGCTTCTGACAACCCTAATTGGGCTTGTAATTCCGCTCTTCTGTGCGGTTCGAGGAGCCGCAGCGGCAGATGTGGTGTTAAGTGCCTCTCAGAGTGCGTGAGCGATAACCCTAGTTTCTACCGCCGATGCTTCCCCTTTTTCTTTTTAGCCGCGTCGCGTCGCAGGTTTTGGTGTTTCGCAGTTTCTTTGACAGACACGTAATGCTTCTGCCGAGCGACCATGGTCGTACGAGGGCACATTTTCCAAAGGTTGTTCCCCCCTTCGACAATTTCCAAATTTCGACTTAGGAACGTGCGAAACTCTTTTTTTCGTGGACCATGGTTCACTACGGCTTACGTTTCAATGCCCCGTTTTCATTCAAATCCTGCTCCTGCTCTTTCCAACCGTCATTCCAGAAGCCGCACTGCCAGAACCGGCGGCGATGGCAGCGGCGCTGGTTTAAGCGCATTATCCTGTCACGTCCGAGTCGCGTTCGGGTCTTCGCCCGAGTCGCGTCCGAGTCACGCCCGAGTCGCGTCCGAGTCGCGTCCGAGACACGACCCGTCGTGTTTGCCGAGAGCGTCGTCCATTCCTGTCAGCCGGAAGGAGCTGCTTTCGGGTCTCATTTGACAATTGAGACGCCGCAGAGGTTATTATAGGTTTGATTCGCTTTAAGGAGCGTCGACCATTCCCGTCAGCCGGAAGAAGCTGCTTTCGGGTCTTATGTGACGTTTGAGACGCAGAAATTACTTTTAGGGCTTTTGAGGCGCTTCAAAAGGAGCGTCGACCATTCCCGTCAGCCTGAAGGACCGGCTTTCGGGTCTTACGTGACGATTGAGGCGCCTCAGAGTTCGCCTTTACTAGGCCTTCTCTAACGTTTGAGGCGCCGCGGAAGGTCCTTATTGGGCATTGGTGATCACCCCTACTACGAACGTCACCTGGTGATCACCCATACGTACGTACGAATCCCCTTAGTAGCTTCCTACCTTCCACTCGGCTCGCGGAGGCCCCCCCCGCATCCCTCGAGGGGTGATCACCTCCCCCACGGATTCTAGAAACTGCCGCGACTCGCCGTGCCGAACAGGGTCGTGTCGCGTGTGCTTACCACAGTGCGCGCCCCTTTCTTGAGAAGGTGGTGAGTGCGTCGAACATCGCAGTGACTGACGATGATCTGGTCTGGAGGGAAGGGCCTTCCTCCTTTTGAGGCGTCTAAGAAAGAACTTTCCCAAACGTTCCTCCGCACACAACCCTTCCCTCCCCCCACCCCCCCCCCCTCTCCCCACCCCCCGTCTTTGTTTCACCAGAATGCGCGGTGGAGAAGGTGGTGGGTGCGTCGAACAATGCAGTGAGTGACAACGATCTGGTGTGCGGGGAGAGGAACTCCTCCTTTCCAGGCGTCAAAGAAAGAAAGAACTTCTCCCCCCTCGCCTCCCCTCCACGCCTCCCACCCTCCCCCACCCATTCTCCCCTACAACACCAGGATCTGCGCTGGAGAAGGTGGTGAATGCGTCAAACATCGCAGTGTTCGATGATGATCTGGTGTGCGGGGGCTTCCTCTTCATGGTCTCATGCGACGCTCAGGGCCGTGTCACCGGCATGTGAGTGCATGGGTGGGGTGGCGTGGCGTGGCGTGGGGTGGGGTGGGGTGGGGTGGGATGCAAGATGGAATTGGTTCGTCAGCATTGTTGACCGACCACGATCTGGTGTGCGGGGGCTTCCTCCTTGTGAGGCGTCTAAGAATGGACTGACGATGATCTGGGCGGATCTTACATCGCAGTGACTGACGATGATCTGATCTGGTGTGCGGGGCCTTCCTCCTCATAGTCTCATGCGACGCGCAGGGCCGTGTGTGACCGGCATGTGAGTGCGCGGGTACGGGGAGGGGATTAGAGATTATTGTTGTCCGACCACGATCTGGTGTGCGGGGCCTTCCTCCTCATAGTCTCATGCGACGCGCAGGGCCGTGTGTGACCGGCATGTGAGTGCGCGGGTACGGGGAGGGGATTAGAGATTATTGTTGTCCGACCACGATCTGGTGTGCGGGGCCTTCCTCCTCATAGTCTCATGCGACGCGCAGGGCCGTGTGTGACCGGCATGTGAGTGCGCGGGTACGGGGAGGGGATTAGAGATTATTGTTGTCCGACCACGATCTGGTGTGCGGGGCCTTCCTCCTCATAGTCTCATGCGACGCGCAGGGCCGAGCGACCGGCATGTGAGTTGTGAACGCGGGGATGTGATGTGAGTGCGTGCGAGTGTGCTGTGGAGCATTTGATCTGGTGTGTGTGATGTGTGCGGGGGCTTCCTCCTCATGCTCTCATGCAACGCGCAGGGCTGAGCGACCGGCATGTGAGTGCGAGTGTGGGTTGGGGACTCGTCAGTTGTTGTTGACTGGGCTGAGGATGATTCGATCTGGCGGTGTGCGTCGCATGCGACGCGCAGGGCCGTGTAACCAGCATGTGAGTTTGTGAATGTGGGGATGTGTGCGAGCGAGCGAGTGTGAATGGGGGGGACGTTGGATGTTGTGCTAACAAGACCTTTTGACTAACTGATCCCTCTTGTTGCCCCACCTCACCCCACCTTGCCTGCCCATCCACCTTGCCCCACCTCGCCACACCTTGCCTGCCCATCCACCTTGCCCCACCTCGCCACACCTTTCCGTACAGGTTGACACCTTTCCCATCCACCTCTCCCCCAAATGCCTGACATTCCAACATACATTGTCAGTCAAAAGGTCTTGTTAAGTTGATCCCTCTTGTTGCCCCACCTCGCCACACCTTGCTTCACCTCGCCACACCTTTCCCTCCAGGTTGCTTCCCGGAATGGCTGACATTCCAACCGACATTGTCAGTCAAAAGGTCTTGTTAGGTTGATCCCTCTTGTTGCCCCACCTTGCCCCACCTCACCCCACCTTGCCTGCCCCACCCACCTTGCCTGCCCCACCCACCTTGCCCCACCTCGCCACACCTTGCCCCACCTCGCCTCACCTTTCTGTGCAGGTTGCTTCCCGGAATGGCTGACATCCCAACAGACATTGTCCAGCTCTCCCGCCTGGAATCACTGTGAGCACTGCTGGGCCAGGAGGAAAGAGCTGTTGGGAGAGGGGGGTTGCTGGGAGGGTTGCTGGGAGGGAGGATGGTTTGACCTGTGATTGAATGCTCCCCCAACCAAATGGCTGACATCCCAACAGACATTGTCCAGCTCTCCCGCCTGGAATCCCTGTGAGCACTGCTGGCAGAGGAGGGTTGTAGGGGGGGTTGCTGGGAGGGTTGCTTGGGAGGTTGCTGGGAGGGTTGATTGGGAGGTTGCTGGGAGGGTTGCTGGGAAGATGGGCCGACCAATTATTGAATGATGGAGGGTTAGTACAATGCAAAGCATAAATAGCAGTGTGAGCTTATTTGCATCGCCTATTTCAGAGATGCAGCTCCACTCCTCTCCACTCCACTCCACTCCTCTCCACTCAAATCCACTAATCTCCACTCCAGTTCACTCCACTCACTTTTTATTGCAAACCCCTCCCCACCCCCCCGCTTCCCCTCTCCCCCCCATCTTTCCTGCAACGCTGGCAGGAGCATGGAGGGGGTTTATGACATGCCCAGCCTGTCTACGGTCCTCGGCGCTCCACTCCTCTCCACTCCTCTCCACTCCTCTTCACATTCACTTATTGCACCCTCCCCCCTTCCCCCACCACCCTCCCCCCTTCCCCCACCACCCTCCCCCCTTCCCCCACCAACCTCCCCCCTTCCCCCACCACCCTTTCCCCTCCCCCTTCCACCCTCCCCCTTCCTACCGCCCTGGCAGGAGCATGGAGGGCGTTTATGACATGCCCAGCCTGCCTTCCGTCCTCGGCGCGCCACTCCTCTCCACTCCTCTCCACTCCTCTCCACTCCTCTCCACTCCTCTCCACTCCTCTCCACTCCATTCACTTATTGCACCCTCCCCCCTTCCCCCGCCACATTTCCCCCTTCCCACCGCCCTGGCAGGAGCATGGAGGGGGTTTATGAAATGCCCAGCCTGCCTTCCGTCCTCGGCGCTCTCACCTCCCTCACACGCCTGTCAGTCAACCTTCTTACCCCTCCCTCAGTTCCTACACTCACTGTCGCTCACCTCACACGCCTGTCAGTGAACCTTCTTACCTCCCTCAGTTTCTACCTCCCTCACTTTCTACCTCCCTCAGTTTCTACCTCCCTCAGCTGCTACCTCCCTCAGTCACCTCCTTCACCCATCCGTCACCATGCCCAGCCTGCCTTCTGTCCTCAGAGCTCTCTCTTCCCTCACCCGCCTGTCAGTCGTGCTCCCTCCCTCCCTTGCCCCATCACTTGCTCCCAGTGAACCTTCTTTCCTTCTCGATTCTCTCACTTCTCACACCCGCCTGTCATTCAACCTCTTTTCCTCCGTCGCTCTTCTTACTTCTCTCGCTCATTCACCCTTTCTCCCTTCCTCACTTCACACGTCCCACACTCATTTGTAAGTCAACCTTCCTTTCTTCCTGCCACACTCCTCAGTCCTGCCTGCCTCTTCCCCTCCTTCCCTCCCTTCATCCCACCTTCCCTCCCTTAATCACATCCCAGTAACCTTATCTCAGCTGTCAATGGCGGCACCATCCCTGCATCCTTCACCCGACTTAAGAAGATGCAGCGTTTGTATGTCGTAACACTATTTCATCGGTGCATGCATGCATTGGTGTGCGCTTTTTTGTGTGTGTATGAAAACGGGGGGAGGAAGTGGGGGGGGGGGGGAGGGGGGGTGGTGGATTGGTGGAGGAGGGTGCATGCGTGCATATGTTTTTCCATCCTTTCCTCCTTCAACCTAAGAAACTGTGGAGTGTGTATGTGTTAACACCATTCCATGCGTGCATGCATGTTGTCACGCAATTAATAAAGGCAATAGAAAGTAAATAGCATAAGGAACCTTGATATAATTGTGTGACAGGGCAGTGTAGACATATCCCATAGCGAGCACAAGCGGTCGGAGGGAATGACCGAAAAGGCAACGGCCCTTGTAGCGGGAAAACCGAAAGTGGGCACGGTCAAGAGGCAACGGTACTATCAAAGAATGATACTTAGGTGCGCAGAAAGCCGTGTGGCCTCTGCTTGCTTGTATGTTTTCTCAATTAGCTAAACATCCTTCCAAACCCTAGCTAGAGAAGCCACTTCAAGCAAGAGTCAGCCGAGCAGTCAGTGTGTGCCGAGAGCATCTCAGCGTACTTTTCTAAATACAAGCGAGAAATGAACGACGATGTGTTGCTCCGCTCCGGCTTTAGGTATCAGAGGCGAACGATGGAGACGACGCAAGCCACGCCGGGTTGGAGGGCGCATGCGAATAGCATTCCGTCGGCAGATCGAAGTTCCCCTGCATCACACCGAAGCGATTCGCCGCGTTACCGGACGCCTCACCAACGGGAACGCGACGGCGTGCGAGGAGAAGAAGAGGGCAAGCGACCGCCGGCCTCTGACCCTGGAACGATCCCACCAGAGGCGACGTGGGTTCGGGCGGCCCAGGCGCGTTGGAACGCAAGAACCGAACGGGAATCACCGGCGCGCATGCCGGGCATGCGAGCGAACGACCCGAACCAGACGCAGACGGAGAGCTCTCGGGAGCGCCGAGCCGAGCCGAGTACGGTCGCGCCGAGGGAATTAGTCGCGAGCCAGCCGGCTCTTGAAGTGCTACGGGACGACCGGGAGAGCCCCGTGACCGGCGCGAGGTGGAGGGCGTCCGGACTGCCGAAGGTAGAAGTCGCAGACCGCTACACAGGGATCCCCGGAACGGGACCGCCGCTGAAGAATTATCTTATGCAGCTGGTAACCGCGCGATACTGCTGGGAGCGAGACGGATTTGACCCGAACGAGTTCTTCCGTAAGCTGGTGGTTACGCTGGCCAGCGAAGCAGAGACTTTCTACCGCATGGTGAGGAGCGAAGTGTTGGACGAACTTGCGCAAGGGTTAATCAGAGATCCGACCGAGCGGTTCGTACAACTACTGAAGCAAGAGTTCGTGGGGCAGACGAAGGCGCGACTGGAGGAGTTCCGAGACTTCCGCCGGAGGAAGGAGGAATCCTTGCTGGCGTACTACAATCGGTTGGTGGAATTGGCGGAGGATTTGGAGAAACACGACGAACGACTGCTGGTGTCGAAGTTCGTCCGCGGACTAGACGACGAGCTGCGGCCCGTCGCCAGGACGGCGGTGTACGGAGTCGGCGCGGATGTGACTCTGAAGGAAGTCTACGGCATGGCTAAGCGTACCGAGCACGCACATCGGTTGCTGGAACTGGACGACGGGCCGGTGAAGACTAAGGACCGGTCGAGCTGGGCGGCGGCGGCCTTACCTGAGCCAGAGAGAAGTGTCCCAGAACGGGGCGACCCGCGGAAGTGTCACGCATGCGGCGAAGCTGGACATCTAAAGAGGGACTGCCCGAGCCTACCCACGTGTGAACGCTGCGGGAAGAAGGGACATCGGCAAGGAGAGTGTTATCAGCGGAAACCGGGGGCAGAGTCCCAATCGAGAGACGAATTGCAGGAAGAGATCCGGAAGCTACAGTCGCGGCTTAAGCGGATGCCGAAAACGGGAGGCCGGAGCCAGGCCATGCTGGCCATCGAAGAAGTTGCCGATGACGAGCTGCCCGAGGACGAGCTAGTGCGGGAGTACGGCTTCATGGCACATCCCCGGGAGCGCAGCGATTTAGACCTGCGGTCGAGGTCAGATACTGTGGGGGAGTCCAGCACCGGGACTCGGCGGGAGAGGGCGCCCGCGCGGAGGGAAGGATCGGCAAGCAACGACATGCGGAGGCACCCGAACGAGCGGATGGTGTGCCAGGCATCGGTGCTGATAGCCGAGAAGGGGAGCCTGACGGTAGGAGGACTGCCCGTGCTGCAAGGGATCATAGATACAGGCGCCTACCACGTCATATTGGGAAAAGGGCTAGCCAAGCAACTTCGGCTGGACCTTCCGGAGATGCAGATAGAGCGGGGAATCCTGCTGATGACCGCCGAAGGGGGGGACCCGAAGTGGATGCCCAGCACGAAGCGGCCCGTAGAAGTCATGCTGCTGCCCGGCACGGATAAGGAGTGTTGCATTCGATTAAAATGCGGGATTTCTCAGTTGGAGGACTATGACGTTTTGGTCGGCATGGAGCTGCTGTACAAAGTGGGGGCAACCATATGCACGTAGTAGGAGAAGATGCTCTACCGGGTGCAATACTGGGATCCGGAGAGCGCAGTGGGGACCCTGCCGGTCCGCTTCGTCAAGAAGGAACCAAGAGAAGCGTATCGAGCGGAAGAGGCCGACTTGTCAAAGGAGCCGGATGACTGGACCTGGCAGGAATACGCAGAAGAAGGGACGAAGCGGATCGAGCTGGCGGAAACGGGGTAGCGAACGCCTGAACTGCGGGACCGCGTCAGCAGGACCGGGCTTGCAGCGGCGCTGAAGGCCGGCTGCTGCGTACGGAAGTGGATACATGTGGAGAAGGACCCGATGGTACGAAAGATAGCGTACCATCACGCCTTGAAGCTGCTCGAAGAATACCCGCAGCAGATATCGATCTCAGCGATTCACATGGAGGGAGAGGACGGGCTGCACGATGTGCGCGACATCACCCGCCCACACCTAGAGGAGTGGGGGCCGATAGACTTAGTAGTCGCGGGTTGGGAGTGCCAGGGGTACTCGAGGGCCGGAGAAGGGCAAGGAATGGAGGACCCCCGGGGGGCTTCTTTCCGAGACTTGGAAGCCGTGTTGAGAATGCTGCAGCAGTCCGGCCGAGAGTTCGTCTACGTTCTGGAGAACGTAGACATGGCCGATGACCGGAGAGAACCAGTGAAGTTCGCCTTCGCGGAGATTCAGTCGGTGCTGGGACGAGGCGTGGCGGCGGATGCAGCCCAGTTAGGCTCGCGGTCCCACCGTCCCCGGCGGTACTGGCAGAATGGAGTGTCCGAGGCGGTCCTGCGGCATTCTCTGGCACAGATGCAGAGGCCACACCCCCGGCTAGTCCAGGACATCCTGGGGCCGAATCGAATTCCAGCGCCAGTAACTACTGAAGACCACCCCTCGCAGTACCAGTGTAACGTGCCGGGAGAACCCAGGAGGGCCTGGCCGACATTGGTCTCGTTCGCTGACGCTAGAGGCTTTAAGATGGACGGGAACGTGCCGGGACCAGGGATGGTGTATGACTCGCGGACCCGTAAGTGGGAGGCGCCGACGGCGAAAGAGCGGGAGCTGGCCATGGGGCACAAATGGGGAGCCACCGCACACCCAGAAGTGACCGAGGCACAGAGGTGCGCTGCACTTGGGAGAACCATGGACCTGAATGCCATGACGTGGATCTTAGAGACAATCCGGATGCACCTGAAGACGAAGGCGGTCCAGAGGGAGTTAGACGGGAGTTTGCGCTACCAAGACGAACGGGAGGCAGCGTGGAGAAGGCAGCAGCTGGAGAGCATCGAGGCGCAGAGAGACGCCCGGATCAGGGAAGGGTGGACCTTCATGGCCGTAGAGGCCTCGGCAAGCCAGGAGGATGCAACGGAAGCGTTGCCGCCCCATAAGGGAACGGGAGACGGACCCGCCGAAACAGATTGGGAGATAGGGGACGGTCTGGGGGCAGAAGCGGCGGCCGCTCTACGGGAAGTGCTGAAGGAGCACTGCCGCACCTTCGCATTCACCCTACAGGAGCTGGGGAGGTGCAACGTGCAGCAGATGCGGATCACGCTTAACAGCGACACCCGGGTATACCACCGAAAGCGAAGGATGAGCCCAGGCGACGAGGAGGTATGCATCGCCAAATGCGCGGAGCTGTTGGAGGCCGGACTGATCAGGAGGTCAGAGAGCGAGTTCGCGGCCGCAACGGTGGTGGCCTCACGGACTGATATTACGGGGAAGTGTCGGCCAAGCGAATGTGCGGCGACTATCGAGGGCTGAATAAGGTGACGGTGCCAGATAGGTATCCTATGCAGTCGGCGGAGGAGATATTTGACAAGTTGCATGGCGCAGCGGTGTTCTCGACGCTAGACCTGCGGCAGGGATTCAACCAAATCCTGATCCGAGAGGAGGATTGCAAGAAGACAGCGTTTCACGGGCCCGACGGCCTGTACGAGTGGAAGGTGATGCCGTTCGGGACGAGGAACGCACCTGCGGTGTTCCAGCGGACGATGGATACTGTGCTGAGAGGGGTGCCGGCGGCCGCCTGTTATATAGATGACGTGATAGTATTCAGCGCTAACGAGGAGGACCATGTGAGAGACGTGAAGGCGACCCTCGACGCGATCAAGCAAGCGGGGCTGACCCGCCACCCGGAAAAGTGCAAGTTCGGGCAGCGGACTGTGCAGTATCTGGGGTTCGAGGTGGGCGATGGGAAGCTGAGCGTACAGGAGGCGAAGGTGGAGGTCTTGGACTGAGTGCCGTCGCCCACGGACCGCTCCTCGCTGCGGGCCGTGCTTGGCTTCCTGGGGTACTACCGTAGGTTCGTGCCGAACTTCAGCAAGACGGCGGCAGTGCTTAACCGCCTGCTGAGAGACGACCAGCAGTGGCAATGGGGAGATGAGGAGCAGCAGGCCCTGAATCACCTGATCCAGGCAGTTAAGACAGCAACGGTGCTAGTGCTGCCGAACAAGAGCGACCCGTTCATCCTATACACGGATTGGAGCAGTGCGGGGATGGGCGCGGTACTATGCCAGAAAAAAGGGGGGGAGGAGAAGGTAGTCGCCTTCGCCAGCCGCAGCTGCAACCCGGCAGAGGCCAACTACAGTTCCTACGAGGGGGAGGGACTGTCAGCAGTCTGGGCGATTACCCATTTCCGCGTGTACCTCCAAGGAAGGCCCTTCACGCTCGTGACAGACCATCAACCCTTGACCTGGCTGATGACCAATCAAGCGCTCACGGGCCGTAACGCAAGGTGGGCTATGCGCCTGCAAGAGTACGACTTCGTCATCAAACACCGACCGGGGAAGAGCATGCAGCACGTGGACGGGCTATCAAGGCACCCCGCGTTGGAGCGGCCGTCAGAGTGTCTAGTAGCGTTGGCGCTGGACATTGACCGAGCGGGGGCCAGGAAGAATCGAGCCAAGGGGCCAGAGGACGTTTGGGAAGACGCCGAAGTACTGCAGTGGGTCCAAGGCAAGACAGGGGAGGAGGGAGCCGTGCCTGAGAGAGTGAGGGCACGCGGAGCGCACTATCGGTGGTATCAAGACCAACTGCAGGTGAACACTAAGGAAGGATGGAAGGTGGTGCCGGAGCCAGGACAGCGGGAGGCGATCATAGCTAGGGTGCACCGGCAGCTGGGGCACTACGGGGAGCTACGAACGCAGCAGCTAGTGGAGACGACCTGGTGGTGGGCGGGTACGCGGAAACAAGTGAAGGAGTGGGTAAAGAGCTGCGAGCTGTGCAGCCGCAACCGAGCCGAGCTAGAGTGGGGAAGGCAAGAGCTACAGTCGCTACCGGTTTAAGGGTTGGGTTTCCGCTGGTCGCTGGATCTCGCCGGGGAAATGCCACTGAGCCGGCGCGGCAGACGCTACATCCTCATCATGATCGAGCATGGCAGCAAATGGGTGGAGGTAAAAGCGCTGCCGAGCAAGAATTCCGCGAGGATAGCGGAGGCGTTCGAAGAGCAAGTCCTGACGAGGTTTGGAGCATGCGGGGAGGTGCTTACGGACCAAGGTACCGAGTTCCAAGGACACTTTGACCAACTGCTGCAAGAGACCGGCATCACCCACAGGAGGACGTCGAGGTACCACCCACAGAGCGACGGCCTGACCGAGCGGTCCGTGCAGACCCTGAAGAAGGGGCTGCGTGCATACGGCGAGCAATACAAGCGGGACTAGGATCTGAGGCTACCCTGGGTCACCGCCGGATACCGCTTCAGCAAACAAGCGGCACTGAAAGACCTGTCGCCGTACTACCTACTCCTCGGAAGAGAGCCCGTCCTCCCCATCGATGCGCCAAAGCTGCTGACAGACACGGTCCTCGTGGGGACCGAGGAGGCATGGGTCGCGGTGGCGGAGGCCCGGGCTAAGTACCTCCGCGAGCTACTGCCGGCGGCTCTAGAAAACCTGCACGTGGCCCAACTGCGGGACGTGCAGAGGTACCGTCAGAGGGGAGGTAAAGGAAGGGACGGGAAGGGAGGAGCCATCCGTCCTGGAGGAGAGGTTTACCTCAGGAAGGCGAGAGGGGACTTGTTGGACATCGGTCTCACCACGGAGAGGTGGAAGGTGCGGGAAGTGAAGGACTCAGGTGTGATCGTCTTAGTGGGAGCCAAGGGGGAGGAGCGCAGAGACCATATCACCAACGTGGCAGCAGCCAGGCCCAGACGAGTGAATGGTGGGGAGGGCTTCCCTGTCAAGGACCACAAGGATCCATCGGCTAACCCAGGAACCAGGAGCCGAGGAGGGGGCAAGTGAATATGACAGGAAAGGCAGCAGAGAGGCCAGAGGAAGAACACTGAACAAAGGAAGGACGCCCAGAAGAGGAGAAGGAGGACGAGGAAGAGTGGCAGATTCCGACAGCTGTCACGCAATTAATAAAGGCAATAGAAAGTAGGTAGCATAAGGAACCTTGATATAATTGTGTGACAGGACAGTGTAGACATATCCCATAGCGAGCACAAGCGGTCGGAGGGAATGACCGAAAAGGCAACGGCCCTTGTAGCGGGAAAACCGAAAGTGGGCACGGTCAAGAGGCAACGGTACTATCAAAGAATGATACTTAGGTGCGCAGAGAGCCGTGTGGCCTCTGCTTGCTTGTATGTTTTCTCAATTAGCTAAACATCCTTCCAAACCCTAGCTAGAGAAGCCACTTCAAGCAAGAGTCAGCCGAGCAGTCAGTGTGTGCCGAGAGCATCTCAGCGTACTTTTCTCAGTGAATATGACAGGAAAGGCAGCAGAGAGGCCAGAGGAAGAACACTGAACAAAGGAAGGACGCCCAGAAGAGGAGAAGGAGGACGAGGAAGAGTGGCAGATTCTGGTGTATGTGTGTGTGCGCGCGCACGCGTGCGCGCGCGTGTGGGTGTGTGTGCGTGCGTGCATGTGGGCGAGTGTTGCCATTCCTGCAAGATCGCAACTTCTCTCCCTCCCCCTCTTCCTTCCTCTTCTTCTCCCATACTGTGTGTCTTTCTCTGCCCATACTCCCGTTTCCCCGTGGGCTCACGTGTCTATCGCCCTCCACCCCTTGTTGGTCGCACGCACAGCGCGACATTGTAGTGAGCTGACTTTTGAGTCGACTCAAAAGTCATTTCCCCGTGGGCTCACATGTCGATCGCCCCCTACCCCTTCTTGGTCGCACGCACAGGGTCCTAAATAACAGCAATCCGCAGGGCAGCATGCCTCCCTTTCTCTCCTTGCTCATTTGCCCCACCCCTTCTTGGTCACACACACAGGGTCCTAAACAACAACAGCCTGGAAGGAGCCATTTCTCACTTGCTCTCCTCTCCTTGCTAATCCGTCTTCCTTGCCCATACGCCCATCTCCCCGTTTGCTCACTCGTCGACTGCCCCCTACCCCTCCTCTGCCCCTCTGCTCCTTGGTCGCACAGGGTTTTGAACAAAAACCTGGATGGTGCCATTCCCCCCTTCCTCTCCTCTCCTCTGCTTATTTCACTCCCTTTGCCCATTGCCCTTAATCCCCCACTGCCCCTACCCCTCCTTGGTCTCACAGGGTCCTAAGCAACAACCACCTGGAAGGTGGCATTCCCCCCTTCCTCTCATCTTCTTGCTTGGCTGTCTTCCTTTGCCTGTTCACCCGTTCCCCCGTTCACCTGTTCCCCCGTTTTCTCACAGGGTCCTAAACAACAGCAACCCGGAAGGCGACATTTCTCCCTTTCTCTCCTCTCCTCGCTTATGTGTCTCCCTTTGCCCATACGCCCACTGCTCCTACTCCCCACTGCCCCTACCTCACTCCTCCTGGGTCTCACAGGGTTCTCAACGACAACCACCTGGAAGGCGACATCTCTCCCTTGCTCTCCTCGCCCATCTGTCCATTTGCTCCTCTAACCCTCCATGTGCCCCCTACCCCTCCATGTGCCCCCTACCCCTCCATGTGCCCCCTACCCCTCCATGTGCCCCCTACCCCTCCATGTGCCCCCTACCCCTCCATTTGCTTCCCCACCCCTCCATGTGCCTCCCACCCCTCCTTGGTCGCACAGGGTCCTAAACAACAACCACTTGGAAGGAGACATCTCTCCCTTCCCTTGCTCTCCTCTCCTCTCCTCGCTTATGTGTCTCCCTTTGCCCATACGCCCACTGCCCCCTAACCTCTCCTGGGTCGCACAGGGTTCTCAACGACAACCACTTGGAAGGAGACATCTCTCCCTTGCTCTCCTCACTCACTGCTCTCACATACCTGTACGCCCACACTCGTTCCTCTATATACCTCCACACCACAACACATAGTTGTCAAGTATTTAGAGGAGTAAGCCGTATCTTCTCACGTACTCCTCCCCGCATGCAACCATGGTGCTGCCCCCACCCCCTTCTCCCCACCCCAACTTTTGCTCATCCCCCTCACCTCATCCCACCTTTTGCTCATCCCCCTCACCCCATTCTTCCCCACCTCCCCTCCCCCACCTCCCCTCCCATTCTCCCCCCAGGTCCCTCAATACCAACAAGTTCTCCTCCTCCATTCCCGCTAAAATCTCCAAGCTCCAGAAGCTCGCTACACTGTATGTTTGGGCTTTCTGTGTGCTGGTTAATGAGAGGTCCCAAAAGCCGTTCCTCCTAAAATCTTTAAGCCCAGAAGCTTGTTTCACTGTATGTTGAGGCTTGCTATTCCTGTGATTTGTGCTGTTTCTTTTTTCCATTTTCCCTTGTTTTTTATTTGCCGCAGAACAGTATGGTGCTTGTTTCCATGTTTGGACTGGTCACTGGCTGGCGCTTGTTTATGACAGCTCCTGAGCTCCGTTACAAAAGCATTTAGTCGCTCTTAACGTTCTTGAGACATTTCCCAGCTAGCAGCAGCGTACGAGAAAGGTTAGGAAAGGAAAAGAAGGTTTTTATAGGAACGACTCAAGAAGAAGGAGGAAAAAAACAAAGCTAAAACAAAACAAAACAAAAACAAAAACAAAAACATGCGTCCGACTCAACGTGAGAATGAGTCAACAACATGAGAGGGCTCATCCACTCACACAATTGTCAACCAACCTAAGGCAAACCTTAGACACTAAACATGTGTTCGGGTCCAACATGTTCGTGTTCGGTTCGCCGCGGCTAGCCAAGACGCGCCGAACACGAACATGTTCTTGTTCGCCTTGTGTTTGGGGCGTTTTGGGGAAGAAATCAGTGAAAAAACTACACGTCACGCACTATAGCATCTCCCCTTGCTGAAACCGACGCCCATACCAAACTAGAAGCCCATGTAGCCCATCCCACGGCTGTTGAGAAGTCGAGCATGAACATGTTCGTGCTAGGGACGAACACGGGGGTGTTCACCCCTAAAGGCGAGCAGGCGAACACCATTTTCTCTGAAGGTGTTCGCGGCGAACCGAACATGCTCGTGTTTGCCTCTTGCTAAAGCCTACTCCCCACTCCCCTACTATACTCTTCCCCCACCCCTCTCTCGCTTTTCTCCCCTCTCCCCTATGCCCTCACCCCTCTCCCCTCGCCCCTCGCCCCTCGCCCCTCGCCCCTCGCCCCTCACCCATTTCCCCTCGCCCCTCGCCCCTCGTCTTTCGCCCTTAACCCCTCGCCCCCCTCTCTCTCCCCACGCCTGCAGTGATCTATCGCGCAACCAGCTCTCTGGCCCCCTCTCCCCCGTCACAGCCCTGCCGCAGCTGACCAAAATGTATTCTCTCATCCCAATGTATGCTGTGAACTCCCCTGCATCCCTTCTCGACCGTTTCACCTTCCTACTGCATCTCCGCCGCTCTGTCCCCCTCCACAGCCATGCTACACTTTGTACACCTTCTGTTTGTGTTATTATCTAGAAAAATAATAATAAAAAAAAATCTACACCCTATTTGTGTTTATTTGAGAATCCTCAAAATACGTATACACCCTGTTTTGAGATGTTTCAAACTTGGCTGCTGTGAGTTTCGTGTGGACTCAATGAGCCTCCTCCTCACGTTACAGCCCTGCCACAGCCCAATCAATTGCATGCACACACTCTGTTTTGAAATTTCGCATTTCTGGCTGTTGCATTGCGGGGTGTTAATGAGAATCTCAAAAGCACCGTGCATGCGCACACTCTGTTCGAAAATTCTCAATTTTTAGTCAAAAATTTTGACTGTTGTGCTGTGGCAGGAGTTATGGGCCAATGGCTACCTGGTCACCTGGTGTGATCGCATTTGCAGTCTCCCCCTCCCTCTAACACCCTCACCATTCCCATTTTCCCCAAACCATGCTTACCCAAACCAACCCCGTTACCACAGCAATCTCGAGTTCAACTTGCTCAGCTCAAGCCTGCCAAGCTCTATCTCCAAGTTCAAGAGGCTCACAGAGCTGTACGTTGCTTATCGATGTTGGTAACCTGGTAACCACGTGGTAACCGCAAGAGGCCAAGCTCCATCTCCAAGTTCAAGAGGCTCACAGAGCTGTACGTTGCTCATGGGCCTTTGGTGTGCTGTGTGTTGGCAACCTGGTAACCATGTGGTAACCACACAAGGGGTCAAGGTGGTGTATCCTCAAATTCAAGAAGCTAGCTCTTTCGGGTGCGGTGTGGTGAAAACCAGGTAAGCTACATGGTAACCATGTGGTAACCACAAGATGCCAGATTGACATCTATCTCTAAATCCAAGATGCTAACAGAGCTGTGCCTCAAGCCTCCTGATGAAAGTGTTATTTTGTGTTAATTTTCGAAATAACACTTTGATTGATCACGTGCTAACAGAGCTGTGCCTCATGCCTCCTCAATCAACTTTGCGGTTCTCTTTATACCTCTCTTACTCTGCACTCTGCGTGCGTGTGCAGGTCTCTTACGTACAACAAGATCAGCGGTTCAGTGCCTCGAGCCATCTCAACCCTCTCTAGCCTCGTGGTGCTGTAAGCCCCTCCCAGGCGCTTCTCCCTGTTGTGTCGTGAGTCGAGGAAATGAGTAAATGTGTTATAAGAAGAGGTGACTATTGAGCCGTCTCAAAAGTTGTGCCTCGAGCCATTCCAACCCTCTCTAGCCTCGTGGTGCTGTAAGCCCCTCCCAGGCGCTTCTCCCTGTTGTGTCGTGAGTCGAGGAAATGAGTAAATGTGCTATAAGAAGAGGTGACTATTGAGCCGTCTCAAAAGTTGTGCCTCGAGCCATCTCAACCCTCTCTAGCCTCGTGGTGCTGTAAGCCCCTCCCAGGCGCTTCTCCCTGTTGTGTCGTGAGTCGAGGAAATGAGTAAATGTGTTATAAGAAGAGGTGACTATTGAGCCGTCTCAAAAGCTGTGTTTCGAGCCATCTCAAGCCTCCCTAACCTCGTGGTGCTGTAAGCCTCCCAGGCGCTTCTTCCTGTTGTGCCGTGAGGCATCTCAAAAGCGTTCCCTCAGGCCCCTCGAAACCTCGTGCTCCTGTCAGGCACCCTGTCGTGTCGTGACGTTGAGTTGAGGGTGTGAGTCCCATTCTTCTGATTCTGATTTGAAGAGGTTGCTTTGGGGTGTTACTTATGCATGCATACACACACTCTGCTACACCCACTCTTCAAGTCGACTCTGCCTCGCTATCGCTCTATCAATGTCCGCCCCGCCCTTGTGTTTCTGTGATTCTTGAGAATTCCCTGACTTCCGTTCCCCAAATATTGGTCGATCCCTGAATTGATCTGCCTTAAAAAAGGCTCTCTCCTGGAATTTCTCCGGCTTAGCCGGCTTTTATGGATATGATTTGATTTGATTCGATTGAGCGCGCGATGCCTCTTGATCCTCATTCTAAATCCGTTCTTGCTTTGTGACTTATGGTTGTTATGATGTGATATGACATGTCATATGAGGATCTAATATGTGGATGCACAGCATGTGATGATGTCTATAATGAGCTACATGCATTACATAAAATCTTCCTGGCATGGTATGTGCATGCATGGCATGCTCACGCTATATGCATGCCATGGCATGATATGGCTGTACCTTTGCACGGTGCATGCGTGATGTAATGTGATGATGCTGCAGGTACCTGGGAACCAACAACATCACGGGCACTATCCCATCTGCCATCGGATCTCTGAAGAAACTTATTGCCTTGTAAGTGATGCTTGATGTGGCGATGCAGGTAATGTGATGATGCTGCAGGTACCTGGGAACCAACAACATCACGGGTACTATCCCATCTGCCATTGGCTCTTTGAAGAAACTCATTGCCCTGTAAGCTATGCGATGTGATGCGATGCAATGCGATGCGATGCAATGCGATGCGATGCAATGCGATGCACCCACAACTGCTTCTGAGGCGCCTCAAAAGAAGAAACTCATTGCACTGTAAACGATGCAATGCGATGCACCCACAATTGCCTATCTCTGGTACTTTTGGACGAGTCTTGAGTCGACTCAAAAGTATCCCATCTGCCATTTGCTCTTAGGAAACTCGTTGCCCTGTAAGCAATTTGATTTCGAGGAGTTTTTTATGTCCTGAATGATGTTGGTGAAAAATGACAAGGCAATGCAATGGCAAGGAGTTGCTTATGTCATGCATACATGATGTGTGCGATGCGATGACAAGTGATGCAATAGCAAGCGATACAAAGCAATGCAATCCCATCTTATAGTCGTACCACCCCTTGCCAGTCAGTGTCGCCAGTCTCTGATTCATATAAAAAAAAACCTCATTTCGATGTGATCCCATCTTATGTCGTACAACCCCATGTCAGGGAGCTTGCCAGTCAGTGTCGCCTGTCCCTCTTCCCCCATCCAACCTCTCCCTCCCTCCTCCTACCCTCTCTCTCTCCAACCAACCAGGGACCTGCCACACAACCCCACATATCAGCCAGCCTGTTGGCTGGTGTGTGCTAGACCCTTTCCCCCTTCCCCCTTCCAACTTCCCATTGCCCCAACCCTCTCTCCAACCAATCAGGGACCTGCCATACAACCCCACATATCACCCAGCCTGCTGGTGAGACGAGGTGCCTTACTTACAGAGCAACTGTCTCTCCTCCCACCCTCTCTTCATCCAACCAGGGACCTCTCATACAACCCCACAGCCTGCTGACAGCAATGTGCTCCCTTGTATGCCTTACTGAGCTGCCTAACAACTACACCCTCACTCCTTTACCCCCGCTTTTTCCCTCTCCTCTCCCCCGCACCCAACCAGGGACCTGTCATACAACCCCATATCAGGCAGCTTGCCAGCAGCCATGGGCTCCCTCAAGTCCCTCAGAATGCTGTACGCTTTATTGGCATTCCAAGCGCGCTAAATCCCTCACTCACTGTTTTGCTCTTCAGCTTCTGAGACGCCTTCTCAAAAGTCATTCCAAGCGCGCAAAATCTCCTGTTTTGGTATTCGGCTTGTCTCACTGCCAGTCAGCGTCTCACTGCCAGTCAGCGTCTCACTGCCAGTCAGCGTCTTCCCCCTCCTATCGTCTTCCCCCTCCTATCGTCTTCCCCCTCCTATCATCTTCTCCACACCACATACATACATCAGAGCAGCATGTCATAACAACTGCTAAGGGCCTCCCTGTATCCCCTTCTCCCCCCCTCCCTGTATCCCGTACTCCCCCCCCCTGTATCCCCTTCTCTCCCCCTCCCTGTATCACCATTTCTCCCCTTGCATCGCCTGTTCCCTCCCCCCTTGCATCGCCTGTTCCCTCCCCCCTTGCATCGCCTGTTCCCTCCCCCCTTGCATCGCCTGTTCCCTCCCCCCTTGCATCGCCTGTTCCCTCCCCCCTTGCATCGCCTGTTCCCTCCCCCCTTGCATCGCCTGTTCCCTCCCCCCTTGCATCGCCTGTTCCCTCCCCCCTTGCATCGCCTGTTCCCTCCCCCCTTGCATCACCTCCCTCCTGCAGGCTCATCCGATCAGCATACATCAACAACACTCTGCCTCTCGCCCTTACAAAGCTCCAAGCAATTGACACCATGTAAGCTAGACACCATGTAAGCTTGAAACCCTGTGAGCTTGAAACCTTGAAACCCTGTAAGCTTGATTGAAATCTTATGAGCTTCACACCCCGTGAGCTTCACACCCCGTGAGCTTGAAACCCTGAGAGCCTGTGCCACTGCTGAGCAGCAGGCAGGGCCATGCATACAAAACGTGTGCATCGTGAGTCACAGCAGGATGTGCGTTGGCTTTGGCAATTCTCAAGAGCCAGCCTCTAAGGTTCCTCTCAAGTGTCTCTAAGGTGTTCTCAAGAACAGAAGTGTGCTTTAGAGGTCTCATAACGGAGAAATGCCAGTGGAAGGCATGTTGGGTTAAGAAACCTGATTTAGAAAACCGGCAGTAAGCGTGCTTGAGATTTTTCGAGAACCCACCTGTGAGGTGCCACTGAATCGTGATAGCAGTGAATAACGGTCGAGTTCAGTGAATAGCAGTGAATAACGGTCGAGTTCAGTGAATAGCAGTGAATAATGGTCGAGTTCAGTGAATAGCAGTGAATAACGGTCGAGTTCAGTGAATAGCAGTGAACAACGGTGGAGTTCAGTGAATAGCAGTGAATAACGGTCGAGTTCAGTGAATAGCAGTGAATAACGGTCGAGTTCGGTGAATAGCAGTGAATAACGGTCGAGTTCGGTGAATAGCAGTGAATAACGGTCGAGTTCGGTGAATAGCAGTGAATAACGGTCGAGTTCAGTGAATAGCAGTGAATAACGGTCGAGTTCAGTGAATAGCAGTGAATAACGGTCGAGTTCAGTGAATAGCAGTGAATAACGGTCAAGTTCAGTGAATAGCAGTGAATAACGGTCAAGTTCAGTGAATAGCAGTGTGTCCCCACTCGGTCACTCCACGTGTTGCTCTCTCTCTGTGCCTTGTTTCCCGCATCTCCCCTCTTCTGAGCCGACTCAAAGTTCATAACCTATTGGGGATAACGTAATGCAAGAGAGGTTATTCTCCCGCTGCCTGCTTTCCTTCTTGACGTTGAAGCGTCACCTTCACGTACTGCGGCCCTTCTATCAAGAGTCAACTCAAAGTTCATTCATTGCGTATTGTTCTCCCGCTGCCTGCTTTCCCTCTTTCTCCCTGCAGCATCTTTTTCCCCGCTGTCGCGTGCTGACCTTTCTATAGCTTCTGTCTCTCCTCTCCTCTCCTCTCCTCTCCTCTCCTCCCCACAGCACCGTGGCCCGCAACCACCTCTCCGGTTTGTTGACATGTTCTTACTTGGGCACTCCACGTGCTGATCTTTCTATAATGTCTTTCTGTCCTCTCCTTCCTCTCCTTCCTCTCCTCTCCTCTCCTCTCCTCTCCTCTCCTCTCCTCTCCTCTCCTCTCCTCTCCTCTCCTCTCCTCTCCTCTCCTCTCCTCTCCTCTCCTCTCTTCTCCTCGCCTCTCCTCTCCTCTCCTCTCCTCTCCTCTCCTCTCCTCTCCTCTCCTCTCCTCTCCTCTCCTCTCCTCGCCTCGCCTCTCCTCTCCTCTCCTCTCCTCTCCTCTCCTCTCCTCTCCTCTCCTCTCCTCTCCTCTCGTCTCTTTCTCCCCGCAGCTCCTTGGCCAACAACCAGCTCTCCGGCTCCTTTCCCGGCTTCCTCGCAAACCTCTCGTCCCTCACTTTGCTGTAAGCATGATGTGAGCGTGTTGTGAGCGTGCTGTGAGCGTGCTGTGAGCATGATGTATGCATGGTTAATGCATGATGTTAGCGTGATGTGATCGTCGTGATGCAAGCATGATGTATGCATGATGCAAATGCGCACACACCAACGAGCCAACATGCGGCGCAGCCCGCAGCTTGCCAACTCCGTCCGCTAGTGTCACCATGAACCACCAGCCAAGATGACTTTTGAGTTGACTCAAAACTTTTGAGTCGACTCAGAAATGGCTTGCCAACATGCCAAACATGCGGCGCAGCCCGCAGCTTGCCAACTCTGACCGCTAGTGTCACCATGAACCACCAGCCAAGATGACTGGGCTGGGAGAGCTGCAGTTTCAAAACCATGTGATAATGATCGAGTTTTGAGTTGTCTCAGAACACGCCAAACAAGCGGCCAACTCCGTCCGCTAGTGTAACCATGAACCACCACCACCACTAGCAGCAGCACCAACACCAGCAGCAGCATCAGCACCACCACCAGCAGCAGCACCAGCAGCAGCAGCAACAGCAGCAGAACTGGTTGTGAAGTCCCAGATCTGCAAGGGGGAGAACGAGTTTAGGGTCCATGCATACCTGCATGGTCCGGGCAGATGGACTGGCTCGTTCCCATGTTCTCCTCCTATGTTCCTTCAAAAGCTGTCAGCCCCGTGTCCTTCCCTCCCTCCACTTCCCCGCACCCAGTGACATGGCTGGTAACCACATCAGCGGCTCCCTCCCCTCCCATCCTTGCTAAGGACTCCCATCCCGCCCTTCCCTTCCCTTCCTTCCCTCCTATGTTCCTTCAAAAGCTGTCGGCCCCGTGCCCTTTCCTCCCCCCTCTTTCCCGCACCCAGTGACATGGCTGGTAACAACATCAGCGGGTCCCTTCCATCAGGGATTGGAGATTTCACGAACCTCTACAGACTGTAAGGGGCACTTTTATATATCCATAGCCATGCCATACATGCCATGCCATGCCATGCCATGCCATGCCATGCCATCTTGCCATATGCCATCCCTTCCATAAACGTTAAGAGCATGCAAGACGCTCTACATGCTGCAAGGGGCCTTTTCCGTCCATAGCCATGCCATGCCACACCCTGCCCTGCCCTGCCCTGCCAAGCCAAGCATGCCATGCCATGCCAAGCCAAGCCAAGCCATGCCAAGCCAAGCCATGCCATGCCATGCCATGCCATGCCCTGCCCTTTCTACCATACCATGCCATACCGTACCATTCCATACCATGTTACCTCATACCTTAGGCAAGTGAGAGGAACAAAACAGCTGGGCTCCTGGGCCAAGGTAATCACTTTAGAGGCGCCTCAAAAGTCGTCTCCTGTGCCGTGGTGGGCATTGCTGCAGAATAGAAGCAACCATTGAATAAAAGCAGCAACTACCTCTGCCTGTTTTCTCCCTCTGCCTGTTCTCTCCCTCTGCCTGTTCTCTCCACGTATGACCAGGCAACTGTCCAACAACAGCATCACCGGCACCATCCCAGAGGCGGTCTCTCTTTACACATCAACTCCTCTTTGCATGTGCCTATCTGTTATTTGCCTATCATGTGCCTGTCTCGTGCCTGTTCTCTCCCCATGCATGCATGACCAGGCAACTGTCGAACAACAGCATCACGGGCACCATCCCAGAGGCTATGGGCCGCCTTACCGGACTTGCCTTCCTGTGAGCACTGCAGCCCTCCTGTGAGCACCACAGCCCACCTGTGAGCACCACAGACCACCTGTGAGCACCACAGACCACCTGTGACCACCGCAGCCCACCCGTGAGCACCACAGATCACCTGTGAGCACCACAGACCACCTGTGAGCACCACAGACCACCTGTGAGCACCGCAGCCCACCTGTGAGCACCACAGCCCACCTGTGAGCACCGCAGCCCACCTGTGAGCACCGCAGCCCACCTGTGAGCACCACAGCCCACCTGTGAGCACCACAGCCCACCTCTGATGTGAGCTTCACTGAATTCGCCCTTGAGAAAGTTCAGAAGCAATCTGCCTTTGTTTTGAGACGTCTTTGGGAAACTCAACTGCAAGCACTTTTGAGGCGCCTCAAAAGGCGCCTCAAGAGGCGCCTCAAAAGTCAACTCAGAAGCAATTTGCCTTTGTTTTGAGACTTCTTGGGAAACTCAACTGTATGCAGCAGCGTTTCGCTTCGCCCTTGCTTGAGATGCATCGTCTTTTCTCTTGCTCTTGTGCCTTGCTCACTGAGTCACTGAGTCTTTTCTCCTCCTCATTACAGCTATCTCGCAGGAAATCAGCAGCCTGCACATGAGGCTGTGTCGGGATCGCAGCCTGCACTCCTTTTTAAGTCGTGCTCTTCCCACAAATTGTGCAGCCAAAAAAGGACTAAAACATGCTCTCGTTTCTCCCCCCCCCCCCCACACACACTGTGCAGCTTTAAAGGGACTAAAAAATGCTCTGTTTTCTTCCCCCCACCCACACACTGTGCAGCTATCTCGCTGGGAATCAGCTATCGGGATCGCTGCCTGCTTTCTTTTCAAACCTCACATCTCTGAGTGACATGTGAGTCCCATCTCTTTGTGTGATGTAAGCATCGCACTACACATCTACACGTTGTCAATAGCCAGTACTGATGGCATGCTTTTTGAGTCAACCATGTAAGCATCGCTGGTTGCCATGTATGTAAGCATTTCATTTCACAACACGTTGCCTGGACACTTAGTCCGGCTTGGACGGCAATTACCCGTAAGCATTGCACGTTGACACGTTGTCAATAGCCGGTACAGATGGCATGCTTTGCAGTTGTATCATATCAACCTGTTTTTGAGGGGACTCAAAATTAGGTAAAAAAATTGTAGAATGTTATGTAAGCATTTCACGACACATTGCCATTACAATCTATCCTAGCTGGTACAGATGGATGCTTTGCAGTTGTATTATATTAACCCGTCCCTCCCGTTCCTTGTTTCCTGTCATCAGTGACTTGAGTCACAACAGCCTTTCTGGCCCGATCCCTCCCTCTGCTTTCAACTGGTCCCAATCCTTGCTGTAAGCACTTTGAAACACTTCGACATAACATCCTCTTCTTTCCCTCATTTTTTTTCCTTGCTTCCTTCACACTCTTTGTGAGCAACCAGTTGTTATCAATGTTGGTAACCAGTTGTGATCAAGGTTGGTAACCAGTTGTGATCGATGTTCGTAACCAGTTGTAATCGATGTTGGTAACCAGTTGTGATCGATGTTGGTAACCAGTTGTGATTGATGTTGGTAACCAGTAATGATCGATGTTGGTAACCAGTTGTGATCAATGTTGGTAACCAGTTGCGATCAATGTTGGTAACCAGTTGCGATCAATGTTGGTAACCAGTTGCGATCGATGTTGGTAACCAGTTGTGAACAATGTTGGTAACCAGTTGTGATAGATGTTGGTAACCAGTTGTGACCGATGTTGGTAACCAGTTGTGATCGATGCTGGTAACCAGTTGTGAACGACGCTGGTAACCAGTTGTGGCGCCTTGTGGCGGAGCTTTTTTTAGGCGTCTCAGGAATTGTTTTTGTATGATTGATCCCCCACTTTCAGCCTGTTACTCGCATAACTTGCTGTTTGCCTGGACATAAATCAGAGCCCTATTCGGGAACAGCTTGGCAGGGGAGCTTTTTTGAGGCACCTCAAAAAGTGCTTCTGTTTTCTCCTGCTACCTTCTTGCCTTGTTCTGGACATACATCAGAGCCCTATCTGGGAACAACTTGGCAGGGGAGCTTCCTGCTTATCTTGGTGACTATGGTGCAATGATGTGAGTCACACCCCTGCACTCTCAGCTTATGCACACACACTCACACTCACACTCACACTCACACTCACACTCACACTCATAGTCTCCAGGTCTCGCACTGGGAACAGCTTGTCAGGGGAGCTTCCTTCCTTTCAAAATCCTCAACCTTCAACACCTTCTTGAGCTCTTTTTCGCACCCATCCACCACTCCTCATTTCCCCTTGCAGACAAGTGGACAGCACGCTCACATGCCCCGAAGGCGGCACACCGTGCTCGATGCAGTTCAAGAGAAGGGCGGCTGCATATCACCCCAACTTCTTCTCGAACTCTTAATTCAACAACCCCACACCCACTACCCCTTGCAGACTAGTGGACAGCACACTCTCATGCCCTGTAGACGGCACATCCTGCTTGATCCAGTTAAAGTGAAGTGTGCTTGTGAACGCCCTGAAGGGCAGCTGATGAGTTCCCCACACACCCTGCTCGCCCTGGTTTCAAACTCCTGTTTTCCCTTGCAGATATGTAGACAGCACGCTCACATGCCCCGCAGACGGCACACCCTGCTCGATTGAGCTCAAGAGGAGGGCTGCGGCATATCGGCCCGACTTCTCCCCAGGCTCTTTATTCAACGCCCCCACACACCCTTCACCCACCCCCGTGCTGATATGTAGACAGCACGCTCACATGCCCTGCAGACGGCACACCGTGCTCTCTCAAGCTCAAGAGGAGGGCTGCGTTTTTAGTATCCCAACTACTTCTGCACCATTGTCTGCCCCTCCTTCTCCCAACCCCACACACTCCACCCCTTTGCAGATATGTAGACAGCACGCTCACATGCCCCGCAGACGGCAAACCCTGCTCGCTTGAGCTCAAGAGGAGGGCTGCCGATTATTTTCCCAACTTCTTCTGCACCACAGTCTGCCCCTCCTTCTGCCAAACCTGCGTTGCCCCGCCGGACGATGGCTCGGGTTCAGACGGAGGCTTGGGAGGAGGCTTGGGAGGAGGGTTTGGTGGGGGGGTTGGTGGGTTTGGGGGAGGGTTTGGTGGGAGTACAAATGGGGGTTTGAGTAGCACAGGGGGGGGTTAGCACCACTGGGATGGGGCTGGTTGGAAGCAGGGGCTTAACAAGCTTCAGATTGGCTAGGAAAAGGGGCGCTAACGGGAAAAGGCATTTACACTAGCGTGATACAGATTCTTCATTTTACTTACCATAGTCAGATTGTGCAGTTCAAGTGGAACCAGACTCCTTCAGCTACCGTAAGTTCAGTTGCTTCATCTAGTTTGTTTGTTGCCTGTGGCTAGCTCACTGCTTGCCACAAGCTGAAGCTTAGTCGGTTGCC